GCAAGCTATTTCTGGGGTGGAAAAAAAAAGCACTGAAAGCTGAAATGTTTCAACAGCTCTGAATTTCCAGGACACTGCAGAGTCACAAGTGCTAGCTGATTCTGGTCTTGTTCTATAATTTGCATTAACCAAGCTGGCCTCAATATAGGACCTCTTCATCTGACTTAAATAGCATCCCAACTGGTAATGCATGCAAGCGATTCACTGGAAGTTTTCAGCTCTAAGCAGAATTATTAACAAAAACCTCTCAGGAACAGTTTGCACATGTGACTACGGTATCTCTTGTTATCATCAGTCTGCTAAATAGAAACATCAGTTGGAATAGGATAGCTTTGGCAATAAAAGGAATAGCTCCACTAACGCTGTATTCGTGTGTTACACCTTTACTCGTTTCAACACAAAAACTAGTGGGATTCAAAAATTCTTTTGAAAAGCGAATGCAAGCATCACCCCCCACATCATACAACGGCTGCTGCTGAGAACCCCTTGCACAGTGCTTCCTTCCAACCCAAGCCAGTCTCATACCTAGGGAATGGGTAAGCTCACTCAAAAGTGTTAGCAACTACATTTGCTTTGCAAAACAGCTAGGGAATACTGCTGGACTATTTGAATCCAAGACATCTTTTAATTACATATCTTTTTGTGCCAGTTGATGCAATATTTAATTAAAGTCTTTATTAACTCACTCCAGAAGCACCAGATAGCGAAAGCTTAGTACAAATACACTGAACAGTTCAAGCAACAGTTATCTCACATGCTTCAATGAAGCCTGTGAAGTCTCAAACCTCAAAAAGTAATGCGAGTGTCAGGAGGATGGGGCCAGGCTCTCTTCAGTGGTGCCCAGCGACAGGACGAGGGGCAACGGGCACAAACTGAAGCAGAGGAAGTTCCATCTGAATACGAGGAAGAATTACTCACTTTGAGGATGACAGAGCACTGGAACAGGCTGCCCGGAGGGAATGTGGAGTCTCCTTCTCTGGAGATACTCAAAACCCACCTGGACACGGTTGGGTATTAAGGTCTTAAAATCAAACTTAGCGCTATTCCTTAATCCATCAGCCAAAATCCACACCATCTCCTTTTCTTTTAAAAAATATAAAGATCCAGAATGGCATAAAGATCTCTAGCTTTAAATGTTCTGGACCAAAGCCCTGCATCTGATGGGTATTTGTTACTAGCTTTACTTTTTATTTCAACACAAGTTCTTAAATAATGTTTAGGTTATTTGTTGTAATAAGTAAGCCTTCAACCCTGTAAGAAACACCCACAAAATGTATCTATAAAAATTCAGGACTCCCTTGGTGATGAGAAAAAAAACCAACTCTATTCTTCCTACCCAGGCAATAAAAGGCCATAATTCCTCTCTTGTCCCCTCGTCCATTCAGGAAATCATTAACTGCAACTCTGCCAGCCACAACAGCAACATGTCAAGTCGCTACAAAACCTTCATTAACACTGCCCTGAACTGCAACATACCAAGTAAGAGATATTCCAGCAAATGCTTTAAAACAACAATTTTGATGTAGAAATAACAAAACTATTACTTCACTTAAATCAATCAAAAGTACATTTTTATATGCTTCCCATCAGCGGGAGAAAATCAGTAAAATCAAAATAAATCAGGCTCAAGTCCATATTTTCAAAACCTCCCATGTAAAGCCATTAATATGCTGGCACCCTTCTTTGGTCCCAGTCAAACTTCTTGTCAGTATGAGAGTTTCCATTGGCTTCCAACAGATTTAGCTGGAACCAAACAAAGATGATTGACTCTGTCTTGTCCAACTCAAGAGTTCTTCAGCTTCTTGCTCTGCATTTTAGGTCCAGAACACCTTTGTTTTCATTGTAAAATATATTACCAAAAAAACAATTAATAATAAATTCCACTATTACTTTACTTTTACCAGCTTCCATATCTCTATTTTCTCTCTCATGGCAGGTGCCAGGAAACTAAAAGTAATGTCCTGTCTGCTTTGTAGAATGCTTCAGTGTTGGAAGCATGTTAGCCAAGCCATTGCATAACTCAAATTACTACATCAGAGGCCACATTTAGTCTTGTGGTGTTTTCTCTCCTCAGATTAATGGACATTACACTCTATAGAAATGTAGCTTGAAATTCCTTTTACGTCAATGAAAATACACCAGAACTACCTGACTGCACATTTAATTCCGTAAACTGTTCAAGACAAAGAACAGGAAGATATATTTAAGCATCTGGCACAGAACAAAGGCCTCCACAAAACCAGATCTATGCCATTTATACAAGATACTAACAAAGTATCAGCCATTCCTTGAAGTCCCAAATCAAACTAACAAAATTAATCTATTTATTCTTACCTGGAAATTTGGTGCCCAGCATAAAGCAGCAGTGCAGTCAAAAAGTACAGGTAAAGCTGAACCAGGTGTTGCCTCGGTAAAGTCAGGAGCACAACACTTAAGATGTAACCTGTAACAAAAAGCAGAGGTTGAAATTTAAAAAAAAACCCCACTATCTAATCCCAAATTTCTAAATATTAATTAACACTCAAGTTATTCAGATCTCTTTAACCATGTTTCTTTTTACCTGGTTTTAAAATTCACATACCTACATTTTCCTCTCATCAAAACAGAAAGGACACAAAAAACCCTGCACTTTTTCCTTTCTTTCTTTCTCCATGAACTGAAATAGCTCTACCAGATTCTGTAAGATTACATCTAGATGTCAAGAAATGGACTTGATCTACAGTATTTTAATAAGACTTAATTAACATAATCTCTGTAACAAAGGGAAAACAGGCCTAAGTCTCCCTCTTCTTCCCAGTGAAAGCAAATTTCAGTGTAGAAGGAAAAAAAGCCTATCCATCCAACAAGCTCGGTCAATTGATGTTAAAAATCCTTTTCTTCAAGCAAAGGACACACAGAACACTTTTCCATGTTGATTAGCATTACACATTTTACTTCTTCCACTGTGTCTTCATGGTTTAAAGATACTTTACATGCCCATAATTTGAGATGGGAACACACAGGCTGTTCTCCGTAACAGCAACATTAAAGCACACTCAAGCTATCAGTGTTGCATAAACCAAGGACAAGGCTCAGCATAGCCTAGGATTTGCAGGTATTCACACCAGCAGTTCCTTCACTTCTTGTCACCATTTAGTAAGACTGTGGAAAAAGGCCCGATGCAGATACAGCTTTACTCTTCAAAAACATAGCCTGGCTGCTCAGCAGCCACTGAAACAAGCAGAAGACTGATCCTTTTTTTCATACCTGCTCTCATTCAGATACTTAAATAATGCAGTACTTTGAAGCCCGCTTCACATGTCCACCACATACGTTACATACTCCTTCCCAGACAGACTGCAGGTCAAAAACCCAGCACATGGTGCCCTTACTAATCTTCATTTCCAAGCTCTCCATCACAATGCAGTGCGCTCACGCTCTTTCCGAAGCTCAACCTAAGTGCCTGACGCTGAAGTCCATTTAGGAAAAAAATCCAGCAACAGCTAGCAACTTCCCTGCAGCTAAGAACAAAACACTACACCAGAACTTACCCTGACACAGCTATACTAGTCACATCCCGTTTAAACTTTCATCCATCTATTCAGCAACACTAGGGACCGCCTTTTTAACTGAGTTAATTTATACTTTGAGCTTTTTGAAAATACTCAAGAAAATAATGGAACTGTAGATAAAGGACTTCTAACTAGTGGGACAACCAGCTCCTATAAAACAGCCTGGGAAAACAGTATGTTCCAATATTTGAAAAAGATACAATTTCAAAGTCAGTCAGTATTTACATAGAAGTATTTCAAGGCTGCTCAGTATCTACTACCTTCAATAAGCCACCTCTGTAAAATTCTACCAACAGCTAGATCTTCAAGAAGGTAACTCACAACATGCTCCTAGAAGAGGCATCAGACCCACAGGATGCCAAGCAAAGCTCAATTCAGACACAACAGATGACAGGAGTGATGCCAGACAAAGCCTGTTACCTACCTTATTAAAAACACAAATATACAATTTACATATTTAACACTAAAGATACCTTTTCAAGTACTTCCATAAAGTAGATGTGACAAGCTGCACATTTGTCTGAGGATGTGCATTTTCAAAAGCTGAAATAATTCATAGTTTGAGTAAAATGAAGTACCACACAAGTCAACATCACTACTTTCTGTACAGTGTCCATTTGATCATTTACAAAAATGGTCCGAGGGATGGAACACGTCTCCTGTGCAGAAAGGCTGAGAGAGTTGGGGCTGTTCAGCTTGAAGAAGAGAAGGCTGAGGGAAGACCTTGTTGCAGCCCTTCAATACTTAAAGGGGGCTTATAAGAAAGACTGGGACAGGCTTTTTAATAGGGCCGGTAGCGAAAGGACTAGAGGTAATGGTTTTAAACTAAAAGAGGGTAGATTCAGGCTAGATAGCAGGAAGAAATTTTCCACAATGAGGGTGGTGAAACACTGGCACAGGTTGCCCAGAAAGATAGGAGATGCCCCATCCCTGGAAACATTCAAGGTCAGGTAGGACGGGGCTCTGAGCAACCTGATCGAGTTGAAGATATCCCTGCTCATTGCAGGAGAGTTGGAGCAGGTCATCTTTGAAGGTCCCTTCCAACCCAAACTACTCTATGATTTTTATTTTGAGCTTTTTAAAGGGGCACGAAACTCAGCACTACAACAGTTTCCTTCTAGCAACTGCTTTATACAGAATTAACATGCTGCTAGTTAATACAATACAGCAGATGCTCTGCATCGTCAGTTTTCTTAGCAAACACCTGTATTTCATGGACTTCATCTTCTCTGTTCATCACCTTCCTTCTGTCAAACACACAAATGACAAGAGCAGGAACTCATCGGCAGAATCTCCACAAAGACAGTTAACTAGTTTGCACCACACCACAGCATCACAAGCCAGCTCCAGCAGCTCTCTCACCATCTGCTGACATTCTTAACATCCTCTCTCTGCTGTATTCACCACCTTCCCTTGATGGCTTAGTGAGGGACAATTCCCTCTGCGGAACAACCCACACGGCATAACCACGTATCATCCCAGCACCTGAGTCAAACCTCTCAAAACCCTTTCTTCTCACTGCAGCCCATGACTCACCTTCAGGTGGAGAACTAAATGGAGTTTATCATGCAGTCTTTCATTCCTCTATCACTCTATAAATAGTCTAAGAATACCTGTTTGCTGTATCTGCATTTAAGCTCCGCCATCTTCTCTACCTTATTCTATCACATGAAAGTCTGCTCCTTAGCCACATGATGATGTAGTTGAGCAGTGCTAGGATAATTTCTGTAAAAGGAAGCTATTTTAGAGGGCAGTAACTGCACTCCAACACAGCCACGTTACACAGGAGTATTTTAGAAGTGATTCAAGTTCATTCTTCTCTACATCATCACAACTTTTAACTAAAATATAGCAGGACATATTGAAGGAGTGAAAAAAGTCTATGAAAAAAATGAGAAGACTACTGTCACATCTGTGCCTTTCAAATAGAGGGCTTCCAAACAGCACAGATGCTTGTAATACTGCACTGCAAAGCAGCATAAGACAGCCAAAGTTACTGCAGAAGCCTGAGAAATGAACTCCACTGCTCAAGAGTTTGGGCTGGAATTTAAATGTTCACTTTGAAGCAGCCGTTTGTGCTAATTGTTACATTTTGAAGAGGGGGAGAGTGAGAGACATTTGAAGTAGTTCCCTTTCACTCCTATTTACAATTCCCTCTTGTGACTTGGTAAGAGAGAGATTTCAACACACTTCATACTGCAATATTTGCATTTTTGCTGCAGAGGACCTATTCCCGAAGTAATACCAACCTCATTTTATCGACAATGCCTCTGCCAAAAAAAAGCAAATAATTCATTACCAAACTGTCTCATTGCAGAATAAAAAGACGACCAGCTCAAATTCAAGCATACTAGCAGTAATATTCTGTTCCCTTTGTTCTCGCCTGGACAAATGATGTAATTAGTGCATGGCATAAACGAGATTCTACTTCAAAACAAAGAGCCAGGAAATGAAATTTTTCACAGCAGCTCTCTCATCTAAATCATTACATTCTGTTTTCATTTGCACCTCCTCTGTCAGAAGAAAACATGCTGCTGAGAACATATATCCCTTCAGAGACACTCTCCACGCACAAGGATTTACAGTTTGAAAAACAGTCATCCTACTGGGCAACCTTTAGACACAGGTTACCAGTAACCAACACCCACTTCCATCCAAAGCTTTTTAAGTTCTGCCTCTGCCATGAGCACTCCCCTCCCTTCATTTCGGCCATGCATGCTATTTTCACCCTTGGGACTTGGTGTATTGTCCCTTTTAACTCACCGAGTACACTTCTGTTTTAAGTGTAAGCAGAAGCGTCAGTGAAGCCCAGTTCCTGCCCTGATAAAGCAACAGTTCTAAAGCATGTTAAAAAAAAAAAAAAAGACAAGAGAGAATAAACTCCTCCCTGAATACAACAGTAGTACCCTAGTGCTAGGCCACCATGAAACAGAACTGCACCCTTAGACTTCCAGCTATAAGGAGCACTACAGAAGACACATTCTGCCAACCTTACAAACACGCAGACCCAGCCACTCAGTACCTATTCAGGAGCACAAGGAAGCAGAGAACTTCTACTGCCTCTTGTGCAAGATGGTACAGATTTAGGCGTCACTGGGGAAAATAAACTGTGAAAACAATAATAAGCAGAAAAGCGAAGTTAAATGTTGCTAGGCAAGAACACACGTATTAACTAGCTCATAACCTCATTTACAACTTGTTGATTCAGCTAGATGAAAACCTCTCACTGTGCAATGCTCATTGTTACAGTAAGCAGCAGCTCATAGATTGCCTTTCAGCAATCTCTCTCTATTTGTGTACCACCAAGGTGTTTCCCAGCTTCTCTCACCCTGTATTACCTCTTTGCTGACTCAAGTGTCTGAGTTTTATTGACGTGCTGCATACAGTGGAGGCTTCTGGAGCACAATCAAAGTTGCAACCCATCTTCTTTATAAAACATTTTTGTGCTCATTTGCATGATTACAGATCCCTTGTGTCCACTTCACATTATTACTCAAAGTTTCCTGCAGGTTTAGTCTAAAAATGAGAACTTTGCACATGAAAGAGTTCATAACATTTCTTAATGAAACTACACCATCTCTTGGATACTGCTTCTGCAGAGGCTTGCCCAGGAAACACTGCCCCCAAAAGAAAAGCAGCTGGTTACGCTGGATCCTACGAAGTGAGGAATTCAGATCTTTGAGTGCCAGAAAGTAACTGCACAATTGCACGAATTCTACCAGGAAATTAATGTTGGGGCCTTAACTTCCCACTCACCCATATCCTGTGAGGGTAAAGGGCCCACCTTACAATGACTTGCAAAGAGACTTGCTGTGAAGCAGCAAGTTGTGAGCAGCAGAATACCACACAACTCCTGTCTCTCCTGACACAATGCAGCATCGGTGCACTACTG